ACTCACTCCAAAATTTTTTTCTTATTTTCATTAAAATTTCTTTACAGTGCCTCTCCCCACCTTCATCCTCTCCTTTTGCACTCTCCTCACCACTCCTTCCCTTTTTTTTACCTCCTTTCTCTTCTTCTTTAAACTTCTGCTTTGTAAAAACCTCCGTAACTCCTTTTTCTCTTTTTTCACACCCTTTACTTCACATCCACCAATCACTCCTCTTTCCTCCTGCCCCCACCCCCTATAACCAAACTTCTGCCCCAATTCTAATATGCATTTTTAAAACTATTCCCAAACCCCCTTCATCCCCCCCACTACTCATCTTTGCACGCCCACCTTTTTGCCAATATCCCCTTTTATCTCGCCCGAACTTCCCCCTCCCTTATTTAAACTTTCACCTCCCCCTTACTTTTTGTTTCCACCTTCCCTTTTCCCCCTCACCTCTTAAATCTAACTGTAGCTCAACAAAAATAAAAACCGATATACATTGCCCCTCATAAACATGTACATCCGGAGCCTACCCACAACCTTTTACCCCAATACATAATCTAACAAACACGTTCATTCTCACATCAAACCTTGTAATTTATTTATCCCTTTTCAAAAATATGTATTACTTATTACCAAATTCTTTCTACACATTTGCCAATTTTAAAACCCCCCCCCATTTACTTTACCCCTGCACCCCAAATTTACCTACTACCCTCCATAAAATTTTACCCACAATAGCATGAAATCCCCAACCCCATTACCTCACACTTGATTCAAAAATCCCCCACAATTCACTCAACATTTCCCAGAATCTCCTCTCTCCCTACACTCTCCTTTTCCAGGTGCATCACCTTCTATAACCCACTTTTCACACCAATCTTTTTTTTACCCACATAATCTTTTAATTTTTGCATTTTTGTCCCTCTTTTCCTGCCCTAGCTTTTCCTTCAACATATTTCTACTCCTTCTTTAGCTCAACTCTATTTGAAACCCCTGACCCAATCCCATTTTTTCCTCTCCATTGAAACCTCCCACCCCCTTCAGCTTTGTTTTACTTAAAGCCAGACATCCATTTCTTCTCATTCATAACATCCACAACATCTCTTTTTTATCATTCGCACAACCCACGCACATTAGACTTCCCCCCCTTTGAAATTTTCTTCCTTCTTATTCTTTTTTGTAACTTTTCAGGGAAAAGGGGTTACTACCCCTTTTTCCCCGGCATTTTAGTTTACTTTTACAACACGCATGGGTTAAAGGAGGAAAGATTCTTATTCCACTTTCCCCTGATATAAAAGGAAAAGTAATAAAACCAAGAAAATTAAGATAAAAAACAAGAAAACTCGATGATGTGTATAAATAAACAGACATGTATGTTTTGTTGACCACGTGTAAGTAGAAGTACAAGACGTACCTGAATCTTGCATATTTATAGACGACAAAAGACCCAGCAATCCTACCATCATGTAAAAAAAATATATATATACATACACATGCATGCTGCATGCACTGGTAAAAGTATTTCAAATCCATACCTCTATTCAATTTTGCCTTTTCCACGTTTTTTTTATTATTGCCAATGTCTCAGATCAAGGTTTTTTTTTATTCGCATTCCCCGATACTGCTGCTATTTTTTTTTTCTATCTTAACCATTTTTCCCACATTGACTTCCTTCTTTTAGAACCATTATTTTTTAAAACCCACATGCCTTAGCCCCCTATGACCAAAATTTCCCGACCATGTGATGAAAGACTGATTAGATACAATACTCTACCCCCTGGTGGGGTAATTTTATACTACAGGTCCACATCCCTTTATCTGAAATTCTGAAATTCGAAAGGTTCGAAAATGAATTTTTTTGTGGAGTGTGGTCGTCATCACTCCTCCTGGTCACCCCCACTGCGGTGTTGAAAACATTCGAAATTCGAAAAAAGCTAAATTTGAAACAATACAGGCCCAAGGGGTTTTAGAAAAGGGGGGTGCCCTGTATTCTACTACACAATTTTTTAAAATAAATTAGACAAAAAACCAGTGAAATGGGGCATAAAGACTTGCCTACAACCAGCAGACTTCTGCAGTGCTCCTTTTTTCTTATTAAACTGGGGGAAAAACCTTGCTTTTAACACGAGCAAAACAAGCTCACACCTTCCTTGATACATGACAAACAAAATCATAAAACCCCCCATAAACAACCTCTATAAAAATTTTGGGAAAACAAAGAAAACTCTGCTGGGCAATTGGGTTTAGAAACATGAAAAAAGTCTGTTTATTACGAACTGTCCCTTACTATTACTACTACAGTGAAAAAAAACCTTTCTTATCCACTGCATTTGACATTACAGTCACCCCCCCCCTTAGTCCATTAAAGGAGGGTACATAACTCAATTTTTTTCACTGAACATCACAATGTCAACTCAATAATTTCTTTCCCTCCCCTCAAAAGCTAGGGTAGACAATACAAAAAAGATGAAAAAAATGAACTTTTTTTCATAACGTCAGGTGTCGACTTGCACACCGTCAGGCATACTAGAGTATACAAGGTGATCAAAAAAATTCCCCCGGGCTTTAATTTTTGTGCACTTCCAGATCAAATATAGCAGACATGTAGATCAGGGGTGCAGACACCCTTTTTAAAAAGTATGTGGGGAAAATTTTAGTGCAGTCGGTCATTTTCCCCGAGGGTTTCACGAAATTTTTTGTTTGTTTTCATGCGGTGTTGCAATATTTTGTGAGCAGAAGGGATCTTTAAAAGAAACACTGAGTGTGTGAAATTCCCTTTCAAGTTTGGTAAAATGGCTAGTGAAACCCACAAAATGCTTCAACAAGCATTTGGTGATGGGTCAGACACACTGTTTTGAAGGATGTATGTCAGTTGAGGACGACGAATGCTCTGGTTGTCCATCGTCAAAAACAGATGCCAACGTTGAAAGTGAGGAAAGTTATTCATGAAGATCATCATCAGAGTTTCCAGAACGTTGCAAGTGTCATGGGAATTCCTTATGGATCATGTCAAAGCAATGACTGAAAATTTGAACATTAGGCGAGTGGCTGAAAAATTTGTGCCCTGCTTACTGACTCAAGCCCAGAAAGAGCACTATCTTCTGGCTAAAAACTACATGGAAGTCATCTCACATCCTCCCTAGATCTTTCCTCCTGTGACTTTTTTTCTCTTCCTAAAAATAAAAATGGCACTTAACCCTTTCAGGGTCCGTCCCGTAGATCTACGGCTTTACGGTGAGTGTCCAAACCGTAGATCTACGCCATGAGCTCAGCTCACTCTGATAAACTGTGAGTGGTACATTTGGGCCTAGATATGAGAGAATACATCTATGTGGTATGTGTGCACCACATAAAACATATCCTGCAGCACACTGTGTAGAATGAGAGAAAAAAAATGAAATCATGATTTTTCGATTAAAACAGCAACTTTGCAGTGTTTTTTCGTATGTTTTTTATATTTGTATTTGCGATTTCTTGGTCTCATTTGATAGAATGGAAGACATATTACAGAAATAGAGATGATTTTGATTGGTTTTAGCACTGGAAATGGCTTGAAACTGAGCTCAAAGTAGCGGAAATGTTAAATTTTTGCCGATATTCAAGAGTAAACAAACGACCTCACACGTCTAATACACGTCAGCTGGTGGGTCTAATATACATTCACAAATATGGTGATGATATTTATACAATTATTACAGTATTGCATAACAGTAAATCTTCTATTTTTTGGTGTGAATAAAAATTCATTATGTGAATAAAAAATCAAAATGGAATTTATTTGTAAAGCCTCAAAACATAACTAATGAACAGAGGAAATGTTAGTTTAGTGCCAGGAATGCCTACATTGTTTATTCTGGACCCTATTTTGAAATTGGAATATTTTGAACTTTGTGTTAAATTGGCCAAATTAACAATTTCCAATCACTTTATTTTGTAGTTGAAACAGTTGACTTGGCGATTTCTTGTGCTCAATCGATAGAATAGAAGTAATACTAGTGAAATAGCTAAGAATTTGGTTGATTGGAATAATGTAATTGGCCTAAAATGGGAGTCAAAGTCAGCAAAATCGCCGATTCGTAAATATCGCTGACACATCAAAATTCGCGAGAGCATAATTTCGTCAATTTTCCACCAAATTTCATACTTTTTGTTTTATTACCTTGACAAAAAGATTCTCTACGATTTCATAAGAAAAAATAACAAATTTTTTTTTTGAAAATTCTTGGACACTGGTGCGTGACTCCAGATTTGGGCCTTGGACCCTGAAAGGGTTAAGGAGCAGCATTTGACACTGAGGAGGTTCCAGCATAATTGCAGGCCATGCTAGATGCTGTTAGGGAAGAAAATTGCAGGCCATGCTAGATGCTGTTAGGAAAGAGAGAGTTCCAGAAATATTTCAAGAAGTGGCAGAGGCTCTGGGATCAGTGTATGGCCTCCCAAGCAGAGTACAGTACTTTGAGAGAGAACTTCAACTAGGTGATTAGGTAACCCTATATATTTATTTTTGCTACAGTCCAAGAACGTTTTGATAATACCGGCAGTTCTTCAAAGCCTAAGAGAAGCTGTGAAGTGCTTCCCATCAGTAAAAATGTGATAATTTGCCAATTATTGTGCATAATTTATCAATTTAACTTTATAATAGGTATGTAAAGGACTTTCTCCATGGGGAAGTGGAACAGAATTCTTCCTCCGCAAGCCATGTGCATCATAAGAGGTGACTAACATGCCAGGAGCAAGGGGCTAGTAACCCCTTCTCTTGTATACATTACTAAAGTTAAAAAGAAAAACTTTTGTTTTTCTTTTTGGGCCACCCTGCTGAAAGATGATATATTGGACTTATATATAGGGTCTGCTACTATCTGCAGTTTCGGTATCCGCAGTAGGTACTTGGAACATATCACTGACAGATACGGGGGTCCTACTGTAGTTTATTTGCAAATATGGCAACTTAGTATGTTTTGTCTTGTAGAACTGATCAAAATAAAAAATATAAAGGATAAAGCACAAGGTAGCCATACGCTATATTAACCATGGAGAGTTCTTGCTGCACATCTGGAGGGAAGAGATGTTTGAGGCTGCTCTGCTGATGGGTGGAGTCAGTAACTATGAACACAACTGGAACACCAATGTTTCTTATGTTGTATTTTCTGTAGAAAACAGAAAAAGAGGCACTGTTTATATTTACACATTATAAATCTGTAGTGCAGGGGAGGAGGGGTAGGAGTCATCCTAGGAAAGGAGGGAAGGAGGGGGTAAAAGAGGTTTTGTGTGCAAGGGGCCTAGACATGCAGCAGACATGTGTGAGTGTGTTAGGGATTGAATGGAGACTAATGGTTTATGGGACCTGACAATCTGTTAGAGTGTGATCAGGGTAATATTTTGTGAAGGGATTCAGGGAAACCAGTTAGCCAGACTTAAGTCTTGTAAGTGGGAAGTACAATGCCTGCACTTTAAAGAAGGGGTTTGGGATATTGGCTGTTTGAAGTGACATCTAAACTGCCATAACTGGGTGCCTCTGCAAAGACAGTGATTATGTGTGAATGATGGTGAAAGTGTTTTTCTTTTTTGGGTCACCCTGCCTTGGTGGGAGACGGATGACGTGTTAAAAAAGAAAGTTAGTAAATCTGACCAACAATTGGCAAAAACTTCAAGAAAAAAGAAATTCAGTTGTCATTCGTGTTCTAATAAACCAGTCAAGTAATTCACATTTTTAGAATGGTAAAAATGTCACTATGCATAAAAGTCAATGTGAATATTGCTACTTGTCAAAACTTTGCAAGTTGTAACACGAAATAATAGCAAAACATAACAATCATATCTTGTGTGCTTATCTATAAAATGTGATTGCATGATTTGTTCCCATTATGCAAAATTAAAAGATTTTAGTAATTACTTTAATCACAAACAGTAATAACACATCAAGCCTCATTCCCAGACCAGACAAGACCAGGAACTTCCTATACGAATAAGAACTCATTAATATCCACATAACTTGATGTATAAATACTAAACATCATTATTAAAAAAAAAAAATCCTGTGATACCACTATATTTGATAAAATTTTAATTATAACTGTAGGTACACAGTATTACACTTACCAGCATGTCACAACTGCTATGTCCTTCCTGCCCCTTTCCTCATTATTTTTGTCTTTTCTGACAGATAATTCTTTCAGAACAATTAAAATTAGTTACTATAGAATTACAACAATTTTCTTTGGATGCTATGGATTCACTTCTATTCCTTGTAGGATCTGATAACCCGCATAAAACACAGCCACACTCTTGAACATAATACAGCCTTAACAAAAAAGTTTTACAAGCTCTACTTGACGCACAATGACCAGTGATTACCGTGCCATCTAGTGGCAAAAGATCACTGGTTACTATGTCACATCCCTTAGGACAATAATATAACATCACAAGCATTATTATTATTATTAGAAAGGGGTTTAGTTATAGGTAATACATATTTTAAGAAAAAGAGGATAAATAAGTATACAAGATATGATGTAGGGCAAAATGACAGTAGTTTGTTGGATTATGTATTGGTAGATAAAAGACTGTTGAGTAGACTTCAAGATGTACATGTTTATAGAGGGGCCACAGATATATCAGATCACTTTTTAGTTGTAGCTACACAGAGTAAAAGGTAGATGGGATACAAGGAGAATTGAAGCACCAGGGAAGAGAGAGGTGAAGAGAGGAAATGGTATGGTGATACCGACAAGATGTGGAAAAAGACACTTATGTACAGTTCAGGACAGACGGAGAAAATGCATTGAAGCTGCACTAATTTCTGTCAGTAACACTATAAAGCAAAAATCCGGTAGTTACAGTATTTCAAAATTACTAAGCAAGAGGATATTACCCATCCTGGGAACTGGTGTTACTTGATGCCAGCAGGTCCCTCTCTTGCCTTACCTCCTTAGTTCCAGTACTACTACTACTACTACTACTACTACTACTACTACCACTACTACTACTACTACTACTACTACTACTACCACCACCTCTACCCACGCGTCACCTCACCTGACTCCTGCCACTATATATATAAATGTTTTCTTAGTTTTCTCTGTATTAGGACTGAAGAAGCCACTCGTGGCGAAACGTTTCCTTTAATAAATGTCCTGAACTGTACATAAGTGTCTTTTTCCACAGAGAGGTGAAGGTTTATAAAGTAAAAGAGGAGGCAGTTAGGGTAAGATATAAACAGCTATTGGAGGACAGATGGGCTAATGAGAGCATAAGCAATGGGGTCGAAGAGGTATGGGGTAGGTTTAAAAATGTAGTGTTAGAGTGTTCAGCAGAAGTTTGCGGTAACAGGAAAATGGGTGAGGGAGGGAAGAGGAGCGATTGGTGGAATGATGATGTAAAGAGAGTAGTAAAGGAGAAAAAGTTAGCATATGAGAAGTTTTTACAAAGTAGAAGTGATGCAAGGAGGGAAGAGTATATGGAGAAAAAGAGAGAGGTTAAGAGAGTGGTGAACAATGTAAAAAGAGAGCAAATGAGAGAGTGGGTGAAATGTTATCAACAAATTTTGTTGAAAATAAGAAAAAGTTTTGGAGTGAGATTAACAAGCTAAGGAAGCCTAGAGAACAAATGGATTTGTCAGTTAAAAATAGGAGAGGAGAGTTATTAAATGGAGAGTTAGAGGTATTGGGAAGATGGGGGGAATATTTTGAGGAAATGTTAAATGTTGATGAAGATAGGGAAGCTGTGATTTCGTGTATAGGGCAAGAAGGAATAATATCTTGTAGGAGTGAGGAAGAGCCAGTTGTGAGTGTGGGGGAAATTCGTGAGGCAGTAGGTAAAATGAAAGGGGGTAAGGCAGCTGGGATTGATGGGATAAAGACAGAAATGTTAAAAGCAGGTGGGGATATAGTTTTGGAGTGGTTGGTGCTATTATTTAATAAATGCATGGAAAAGGGTAAGGTACCTAGGGATTGGCAGAGAGCATGCATAGTTCCTTTGTATAAAGGCAAAGGGGACAAAAGAGAGTGCAAAAATTATAGGGGGATAAGTCTGTTCAGTATACCTGGTAAAGTGTATGGTAGAGTTATTATGAAAAGAATTAAGAGTAAGACAGAGAATAGGATAGCAGATGAACAAGGAGGCTTTAGGAAAGGTAGGGGGTGTGTGGACCAGGTGTTTACAGTGAAACACATTTAGATAAGGCCAAAGAGGTTTTTGTGGCATTTATGGATTTGGAAAAGGCGTATGACAGGGTGGATAGGGGGGCAATGTGGCAGATGTTGCAGGTGTATGGTATAGGAGGCAGGTTACTGAAAGCAGTGAAGAGTTTTTACGAGGATAGTGAGGCTCAAGTTAGAGTATGTAGGAAAGAGGGAGATTACTTCCCAGTAAAAGTAGGCCTTAGACAAGGATATGTGATGTCACCATGGTTGTTTAATATATTTATAGATGGGGTTGTAAGAGAAGTAAATGCGAGGGTCTTGGCAAGAGGCGTGGAGTCAAAAGATAAAGAATCACACAAAGTGGGAGTTGTAACAGTTGCTCTTTGCTGATGACACTGTGCTCTTGGGAGATTCTGAAGAGAAGTTGCAAAGGTTGGTGGATGAATTTGGTAGGGTACGTAAAAGAAGAAAATTGAAAGTGAATACAGGAAAGAGTAAGGTTATGAGGATAACAAAATGATTAGGTGATGAAAGATTGGATATCAGATTGGAGGGAGAGAGTATGGAGGAGGTGAATGTATTCAGATATTTGGGAGTGGACGTGTCAGCGGATGGGTCTATGAAAGATGAGGTGAATCATAGAACGGATGAGGGGAAAAGGGGGAGTGGTGCACTTAGGAGTCTGTGGAGACAAAGAACTTTGTCCTTGGAGGGAAAGAGGAGAATGTATGAGAGAATAGTTTTACCAACGCTCTTATATGGGTGTGAAGCATGGGTGATGAATGTTGCAGCGAGGAGAAAGCCGAAGGCAGTGGAGATGTCATGTCTGAGGGCAATGTGTGGAGTGAATATAATGCAGAGAATTCGTAGTTTGGAAGTTAGGAGGAGGTGCGGGATTGCCAAAACTGTTGTCCAGAGGGCTGAGGAAGGGTTGTTGAGGTGGTTCGGACATGTAGAGAGAATGGAGCGAAACAGAATGACTTCAAGAGTGTATCAGTCTGTAGTGGAAGGAAGGCGGGGTAGGGGTCGGCCTAGGAAAGGTTGGAGGGAGGGGGTAAAGGAGGTTTTGTGTGCTAGGGGCTTGGACTTCCAGCGGGCATGCGTGAGCGTGTCTGATAGGAGTGAATGGAGACAAATGGTTTTTAATACTTGACGTGCTGTTGGAGTGTGAGCAAAGTAACATATATGAAGGGATTCAGGGAAACTGGCAGGCCGGACTTGAGTCCTGGAGATGGGAAGTACAGTGCCTGCACTCTGAAGGAGGGGTGTTAATGTTGCAGTTTAAAAACTGTAGTGTAAAGCACCCTTCTGGCAAGACAGTGATGGAGTGAATGATGGTGAAAGTTTTTCTTTTTTGGGCCACCCTGCCTTGGTGGGAATCGGCCAGTGTGTTAATAATAATAATAATAAATAATAATCATGGGTTGGAGCTAAATCCCAATGGGTCATATGGTACCTGGGGGCTTGGAGACAATCAGGTTTAATCTTAAGAAAGGGAAAGTAACTCCATTCCCTTTATCAAGAACCTTTCACTAGCCTCAAGGTAATGACTGCCCTTGAAGGGAACACAGCAGATGCCTCACCCCCGAGTGTCGAGTGGATTACTCTGAGACAAATTTTCCTGGTTTTATACTCCAGCATCAAAGAGGTTAGAAAAGCTGTTTCCAAATACACATGAATTAATTAGTAAGACAGAAGTTGACTGAAGTTAAATCTGTACAAAAATTTGTACAGAAACACCTAAAATAAAAACAGTGATCCCTTGAGTTACGATATTAATATATTCCAGAGGACACATCATACTTCCAAACCATTGTTTGGTGTTTTGAGGTACTATGGAGACAAAGTTTTCCATGAAAGCAAAGAAGGAAATGTATGAGAGTATAGTGGTACCAACACTCTTATATGGGTGTGAAGCATGGGTTGTAAATGCTGCAGCAAGGAGGAGGCTGGAGGTAGTGGAGATGTCATGTCTAAGGGCAATGTGTGGTGTGAATATAATGCAGCGAATTCATAGTTTAAATTAGGTGGTGA